CGGGTGGGGGCCGAGTCTCTGCAGCATCTGCCCATGTCGTAGCTCTTCAGGGCCTTTGCTAACCTCAGTGCTTTGCAGTGACAGGCCAGTGGAGTGTGGAGCAGGTTGAGTCTCCCTGATCCAATATCCGAAATTCGGCCAGGTGTGGTGGCTCACGCCTGTAATCCCAACACTTGGGAAGCTGAGGCAGGCAGATGACCTGAGGTCAGGAGTTCAAAATCAGCCTGGCCAATGGGGTGAAACCCCGTCTCTACTGAAAATACAAAAATTACCCAGGTCCAGGTGTGGTGATGGGCACCTGTAATCCCAGCTACTTGGGAGGCTGAGACAGGAGAGTTGCTTGAACTCGAGAGGCAGAGGTTGTAGTGAGCCAAGATCATGCCATTGCACTCCAGCCTGGGTGGTAAGACTGAAACTCTGTCCCCCTGCAAAAAAACAAAGTCTGAAATGCTCCGCAATCCAGAATACGTTGAGCACCAACATGCTATTCAAAGAAAGTGCTCATTGGAGCATTCTGAATTTCAGATTTTTGGATTGGGGATGCTCAGCTAATAAATATAATGCAAATATTCCAAACTCCTAAAAAATTTGAAGTCTGAAACACTTCTGGTCCCAAGCATTTCGGGTAAGGAATACTCTGCCTGCGTGTGGTTGTAGGCAAGTCTTTTCACCTGTAAAACGGATGTGAAGAGAATACCCGCTCTCCTTAATGTAGTAAGGCCCTCCAGGCAGGGCATTGGAAGCCAGAAAGTCAGGATTCGTGGTCCACATCACCTGTTATGGCCACTCCTGCTTATAGCCCACAGAGGCTTTCACAAGCGTGGGTGTGTCTCCCTTCATGCAGTAGGTGTGTTCCACTGTGTTTGGCGTGAATTGAGCCTAGGAAGGAAAGTAACATCTCCCGGATGTCTGCATGCCAGGCTCTGTGCTGGTGTGCTTCACCGGTGAATGCACTCCACATCCTAAGCCCACAGGGCAGGTGTGTTCGTTATCTCTCCCCTTTAACGTGGCAACTTAAAGCAATAACCATTTATGATTTCCCATGGTCTCTGGGGGTCAGGAATTAGGGAATGCACTGGCTGGTTCTTTAGTGGTTCGAGTTTGGGCTGCAGTCATCTGTAGGCTTGACCAGGCTGTGGGATCTGCTTCCAAGGGGGCTGCTCACCGGCTGGCAAGTCAGGGCTGGGCATTGGCAGGAGCTGTTCCTCATGACATGGACCTCTCCAGAGCGCTGCTTGAGTGTGCAGGGAGGAAGCCACAGTGTCTTTTATGTCCTAGCCTGGGAGGTCACACACCACAGCACTCGGTGTGGGAAGGGACTGCCCATAGGTGGGAATTCCAGGAGGCAGGGATGGGTGGGGCCCTCCTTGGAGGGTGGCTCCTACAGTCTCTTCACTGTTTCGCTGAGAAAGAAACCGAGGCCCAGGAAGGCCGGTAGCTTACCCAGGACATGACTGTTACCACCTGAGTCCCTTTAATAGCTGCAGTTCTCCTGTGATGAGGTTGCCAAGGAAGAAGCAGCTGCCTTGCAGAATGGTAGAATGTCCTGGGCTGCTTTTTTTTTTTTTTTTTTTTAGACAGAGTTTTGCTCTGTCGCCCAGGCTGGGGTGTAGTGGTGCCATCTCGGCTCACTGCAACCTTTGACTCCCAGGTTTAAGTGATTCTCCTGCCTCAGCCTCCCGAGTAGCTGGGATTACAGGTGCCCGCCACCACGCCTGGCTATTTTTTGTATTTTTTAGTAGAAACAGGGTTTTGCCGTGTTGGCCAGGCTAGTCTCAAACTCCTGACCTCAGGTGATCCGCCCGCCTCCGCCTCCCAAAGTGCTGGGATTACAGGCATGAGCCACCGTGCCCGGCCTATACTGGGCTTCTGATGGCCTGCGAGCCCAGTGGGAGGAGTGGATTTTGAGTCAGCTGCCTGCGGGACGGGCCTCCCAGCCACTGCAGTGTTTTCCCAGTCCCCTCCCAGTTCAGCCTCCTCCCGTCACTGCAGCAGCCCACACCTCGGGGCAGGTGGTGCCATTAGCAGGCACGACTGTGATCAGGGCCTGCGTTGTCATCTCTTCCTTCAGCTTGGAGGTGTTTGGCCTCACAGGTCCCATCTAATGGCTGCATTCTCTTCCTGGGATCTCCTGGCCTTTGGTGACAGGTGGCAGGAGAAGGTACTATCCTGGTGATCCAGAGTCTCCCAACATCTTGGCACCGTGGATCTTTTGTGGATTCATGTAAATTCTCCCAAAGTAAATAAGATAAATTCCGAAATTACAAACTTCAGGGGTGGACGGACTTGCCCTCCAGCTCCAGAGGTGTGGCGGGCAGTCAGCAGAGGGAGCCACGTGAGGCAGCTCACAGGGCCCAGGAGCACCCTGGAGGGCTCAGGTGCATCTGCAGCCGGGTGGAGCCCTGTCGCTTCGGCTGGGTGGCACGGGCATGCGGTGCTGTGTGTGCCACTTGCTTGGCTTTGCCCCAAGCAGCTCCAAGGGCACACCCTTTGCCCTCTGCCCTGCACCATCTCCTGGGTGAGGCAGCAGCGTCAGTTTTGGAGGTGCTCTGGCAAGCAAAGAGGCCTCTCCTAAAATGAAGGCTAACTCTGTAATGCATTCATATTTGTTTCTCTTGGTCAGTTTTTAGTTTGTCCTTCTTGTATGCTTCTCTGCTGGGTATGGAAGGAGTAAACCCATGGCCCCAGCCCCCATCCCTGGGGAGATGAGAGTGCGCTGTGGGGCCCAGAGGCGGGGCTGAGCTGGCAGAGCCTGGGGCTGCTTGGGAGCCCACTCTCTGGGCTGGAGTTGGGTGGGGTGGGGTGGTGGCCATCCACGGCATGGGGAGGAGTTGGGTGGGCAGATGTGGGAGGGGCACTCGGGGTGGGAGGAACAGCATGAGCAAAGGTGTGGCGGGTGGGAGGGCGGGGCTGACCCGCGCTGCCCTGGCTTGCCCCCGCAGCGGCTGTACAGCATGGACCTGCGGAGCTCCCACAAGGCCAAGGGCAAGGAGAAGCTCTGCTTCTCCCTGACCTGCCCGCTCGGCAGCGGGAGCCCCGAGGGGGTGGTCAAGGCGGGGGCACCTGAGCTGGTGGACAAGGGCCCCTTGGTGCCCACCCTGCCCTTCCCACTCCGCAAGCCCCGAAAGGCCCACAAGTACCTGCGGCTCTCACGCAAGAAGTTCCCGCCCCGCGGGCCCAACCTGGAGAGCCACAGCCATCGACGGGAGCTCTTCCTGCAGGAGCAACCGGCCCCAGATGTCCTGCAGGCGGCCGGCGAGTGGGAGCCTGCTGCGCAGCCCCCTGAAGAGGAGGGTAAGGCGGCCCAGGCCCAGAGACCCTCAGAACTGGAAAGGACCCTGTGGGTCATCAGGTCCAACTGACTCAAATGTCCAAAGAGGGCCCTTAGAGCTTTGCGGGAACACTGACAGTAGCCCAGGGCTCCTCCTGTCTTCCTGCTCCAGATGAGCTCTTGTTTAGGCTGGGAAGATGCCCCCAGTGCCCTCCTCCCAGTGCCCAGTCCTGTGTGAGGCCCTGAGCTGGCTGAAGACGCAGAGGAAGACCTGGAGTTGGGGTGGGGTTGGGTGGTCTGCATGGCTTCTCACTTTTCAACGCTGCTCCCATCTGTCTGTCTGTGTCTCACGCTGCAGCAGATGCTGACCTGGCCGAGGGGCCCCCTCCCTGGACACCTGCGCTCCCCCCAAGTGAGGTGACTGTGACGGACATCACCGCCAACTCCATCACCGTCACCTTCCGCGAGGCTCAGGCGGCTGAGGGCTTCTTCCGAGACCGAAGTGGGAAGTTCTGAATCACCGTTTTTACTCTTCTTAAACTGTTTTCTTTTGGGCTTGGGGTGGGACTTCCAGAGATAGGGATGGGTTGGGGGCGGGGTAATTATTTTATTTAAAAAAAAAATACCAAGCAGCAAGAGGGGAGAAGATGCCACCACTCTCCCACCACCCGGCCCTTTTTCTGAGGGACGTTTACCACACAAGCTCAGGCTGGGGATGGAGAGAGTTGCTCTGGGAGTTGGGGGACCACCCCCAGGGCAGGATGGGGACAGGATGTTCCCTGCCGGAGACACCATTATCATTCTCCTCTAGTGAAGCAGCGCTGGTTCTAGGAGTTAAAGGAGTGTTGGAAAGCCCAAACCCTCTCCCTTGAGCGGCCCCCCCCAGCCTGGCTGCCTGTTTTTCCCCTTTATGTTTTGATTGGGTCTTTACCTTGAACTTCCCACTCCTGCTTTGCAGTGGGCTGTGGAGGCTGGTTTCAATGAAAAGTGAGTGGGGCAGGAGGAAGGGTTAAGGTCGCTTGGGGCAAGTCCCTTCCCCTTCAGAGAGGCTTCTACTCTTTCCAGAGAGGAGGCGCTGCCGAGACCTTTCTGCTGAGAGCTCTACCCTCCCCTCATTACCTGGCCCACGCAGAAATGCTCACGCACGCCGGGTTGCACAGGTGTGCATGCATTACCCTTCGCGTGTACATTCCCATGTGCCCCACAAACACGTGTGGGTCTGCAGATGTGTCCACAGGGGCCTTGCAAATCTGGTTTAGAAACCCCGGCCAGGGGATCTCGGGCAATTCATAGCACAAAAGAACGCGCCGCCACACCCACACTTCTTCCACCTTGCATGCACCTTGCTACTTGCTTGCGGCTTTCAGCGGAGGGCAGGGGTCTGGCACGGGTGTGATGGCACCCCAGGCTCCAGGCATGCAGAAGCGGTTTCTGAGCTGCACCGGGCCAGGCTGCGGGTGTGCAGGCGTCTGCTAAGTTGTGTGATGTATCAGCGCGGGCTTTGAGATATCTGGACCCTGTCCTTCCTCCTCTGAGGGGTTCTTCTTCTTTCTGACTCAGGTGACTTTTCAGCCCTTCGGATCCCCCTTTTTTTCTGCCCTCCCCTCCAACTCAGCCAGCCCAAGTGTGGGCAGTCAGGGAGGGAGGGAGTGTCCCACCGTGTTCTCAGGGCAGCCCTCGACGCCTAAGCCCCTTCCTCCTCCCATTCTGCATCCCCTGCCCATCCAACCTAAATGCCACAGCTGGAGCTGAGCCGTGTTCCTGTGGAGGGACCTCGGCCATGCCTCTCTGAGGTCAGGCTGCCTGTGTGTGACGGGCAGGCTTCGTACCAGCCCATCCCCTGGTGAGGGGCACTGTTTGCTGGCTTGTACAAGGTGTCCTGGTGGCCAGTGTCTTCTCTGCCAGTGAGGAGTGACTTCTCCTTCTCTTCCAGTCCTGTAGGGGAGAAAAAGCCAGATTGGGGGGGCTCGAGGGGAGCATGGAAAAGCCCGGCTCTCCTGTCTTTCCTTGGCTGTCAGTCAGGGTAACACACACCAAGAGTGGAGTGTGGCCGGTGAGTTTGAAACCTGCCTGCCCTCCTCGAAGCTCTGCACTGTGTCCTCAGGAAGTCATGGAGTCTCTATGGAGGCAAGGAGAGGGTAATTCCCTCCCAGACCCTGTCTTCCCAGTTCCCAAACCAAAGACGGCCTATAGCCCTTTCTGCTTAGGGCACTCTGTTGACAGGCTGCCCAGATCCCTGAGTCTCTCTGTCCTCGATCTTTAGTTGTCCACGGTCAATTCAGTGCTTCCATTGGGGGACAGTCCCCATCGGGGTGACCTGATTCACCTCCAGCCCAGGGAATGGAATCTAGAGGAATATGTGGGGTGGGTCTGGAAAAGGGGCGGCAGGAATCACTACCCGTCTCCAGCTGTGGGGCCCTGTGGAGGGGAAGGGAAAGTTTGGGGTCCCAGGGGAGCTCTTCCAGGAGAGGGGCGCCCATCGGAAGGGAAGGTGATAGAGGGTTGTGGGGGAGGATCTCTAGTTGACTGTCTTGGCCCATGGCTTTGGAATATGGCTGGCAGCTTCCAGCAGAAGTCAGGCTCCCCATTCCCCAGGGGACATGGGACCTTTTTCCTGCTTCCCGGTCACTTTCAAACAACTATTTGTGCAATCTATGGGTCTGTGATTTCATGGGGCTTTTTGTGTGAGGGCTGCAGTTGTTTCGTCTGTAGCAGCAGGACGTATCTTTCCCCTTACTCAGCCCTTTATGGCCCATGGGGAACCCTCTGGCTCAGGGAGAGCCATACTCCAGTGGTGTGACCTGGGACGGGTGGGCCTGAGGTGCCCAGATCAGGGCAGCCACGTGGCTCATGGGCTGTAGTGAGCGGGCTCCCTGGGGGAAAAGGCTGTGGGCTGTTAGGACCATTCCCCAGGACAGGTGACCTCTATGAGGTCACCTATGGCTGTGGCCCAGTAGAGCAAGGCAGACAGTGACCTCCACCCCCGCAACCCCCTTAAAAGGCCAGTAATCTTGGGGTTGGGGGTGGGCTTAGAAAGCATTTGCCCACCTGCCTTTCTTTCCCCCAGCCCCTACCCGCTTTGAATGTGGAGGCCTGTGGGTACTTTTCCTTTTGTGGTGGGGGGTGCGGAGGACATACCCCGACCCCTGGCACGGCCGCCTGGAATGCAGGACCGTCACCGCTGTTAGGGTGGTGACCTCGCTGCCAGTCTCGTCCTCTCCCCGTGTTCCAGGGGCAGGCGCTGTGCTCCTGTGAGGTGGTTTAGCTTTTGCTTTATAAGTGGCCAGCCGCGGCCACCAGGTCTCAGCACAAGAGCGCTTCCTTTGCACAGAATGAGCTTCAAGCTTTGTTCAGACTAAATGAATGTATCTGAGAGGGGTCAGGGGCACGAGTTGATTCCAAGCACATGCCTTTGCTGAGTGTGTGTGTGCTGGGAGAGTCAGAGTGGATGTAGAGCGCGGTTTTATTTTTGTACTGACATTGGTAAGAGACTGTATAGCATCTATTTATTTAGATGATTTATCTGGTAAATGAGGCAAAAAATTATTAAAAATACATTAAAGGCGATAAAAATTAAAGAAAGTTCCTGGGCATTTGATTGTTCCTTCTGGTTTCGTCCCTACTGTGCTGAGGAGAGCACTCCAGACCCTGGTTACTCCACTGTGCCGAGGAGGGCGCTCCAGACCCTGGTGACACCAGTCCGCTAGTCACTGACCATGATCTCAGACAAGCCTTTTCATCTGCTGAGCCCCCAGAGGGACAGTGAATTAACTGAGGTGATGGGAACAGGAAACTGTGGGTGGGGGTGTTTCTGGGTGAGGCCATTGCCGTGGTCTGTAGCATGTCGTCAGAAGTCTAGAGTGCTTCTGGGACCTTTTCTCTGCTTCCCCCAAGAATCCTCTGTTCCAGACCTTGCGGTGGTGAGCATTCTGGGTCTCTGCAACTGCAGGTTATGGATCACAAAGCTGTCTTTGGGCTAACACTCACCTACTGTGTGTTCAACCAAGCTTAGCACACGTCCGAACGCTGAGACAGGTGGTCAGCCAAGGGCAAGTCCTGGGAGCACGTCTGCATTTGAGTGCATCAGAGGCTGCAGGACAGAGGCTGGGCCAGAGTAGGCAGGGCTGATGGTGGGGAAAAGGAGTTAAGAGGCTGTTGCATCCCAGCACTTTGGGAGGCCGAGGTGGGCGGATCACCTGAGGTCAGGAGTTCGAGACCAGCCTGACCAACATGACAAAACCCCGTCTCTACTAAAAATACAAAAATTAGGCGGGCGTGGTGGTGGACACCTGTAATCCCAGCTACTTGGGAGGCTGAGGCAGGACAATCACTTGGACCTGGGAGGCAGAGGTAGCAGTGAGCCACGATTGCACCATTGCACCCCAGCCTGGGCAACGAGAGTGAAACTCTGTCTCAAAAAAAAAAAAAAAAAAAAAAAAAAAAAGAATATGCCTGGGTTTCCTGTTTGGACAACTGGGTAGGCAAAGATCTGGATGGAGGATGAAAGAGAAGAAGCAGATTCTGAAGTATCTTAACTTGGTCACCCCGAAAAGCAGAGCCTGGGACAATTTTCTGGGCAGGGAGTTTATTTGGGAGGTGATCCAAGGGGCAGGGATTAGGGGCTAGAGAGAGTGGCATATAAGAGTGTATTGCTGAGGTCACTGTTAGAGGGAACTGGGGTGTGATTCTGCCTGAGATCACCTGAGAAGTATACAAATGCCTCCCTGAATTGGCCACTACCAGTGAGAGGGGTGGAGCCTAGTGCATATGCACAATCCCTCCCTGGTGGAGAGTTGACCCTGGATGTGCTAATCCTCATCCCCCAACTTCCAAACACTGTTGATGCCAGCTTTCACCCATCTGTTGTGTTGGAACAGCCCGGGGTAGAAAGTGAAGACATGCTGGCAGTCGGAACCCACAGGGAGTCATCCACCCCATCCGCAGCTGAAATCAGAGATGAGGCCGAGAAACGGTTGCTCAACAGGGGCACCAGAGGCTTCTGCAGTTGCCCCTGCAGCTACCAACAGGCACGGAGGCACCAAGAGATGCCTCAGGGACTGCCTTGACGTCCAGACAGACTCCTGTTTGCCCACAGCATGTATCAGCAACTCAGATCTCAGGGTGATCAAGGTCAGGAAATCTCATCAATTTACAAACTTTTTTCTTCTTGCCTGCGGATCTACTAGTCCTAGGAGCCCAAAGCGACTGGGTTGTAGTTGTAGCCTGTTTCTGCGTTCCTTACGCTGTCCCCTGGTAGATGTGCTTCCTGTCCTAGAAACAGGGGCCTCTGCTCTGCCAGGTCTCAGTCCCAGTGGGCAGAAGCACGAGTTCTGCAAGGAGATGAGAAGGGCCTGCGCAGCTTCCGCCCCTTGGTTCTCCCTGGGGCATCACTAGCTCAGTGTATGTATTAAGTTCAGGCGGCTGGGCGCGGTGGCTCACGCTTGTAATCCCAGCACTCTGGGAGGCCGAGACAGGCAGATCACAAGGTCAGGAGATCAAGACCAGCCTGGTTAACACAGTGAGACTCTTATCTCTACTTAAAATACAAAAAATTATCCAGGTGTGGTGGCACGCGCCTGTAGTGCTGGCTACTCTAGAGGCTGAGGCAGGAGAATTGCTTGAACCTGGGAGGCAGAGGCTGCAGTGAGCTGAGATCACACCACTTCATTCCAGCCTGGGCAACAGAGCGAGACTTTGTCTAAAAAAATAAATAAATAAATCCAAGGGGACAACACCCCAGTCCTGCAGGGTGAGCTGATGCTTTAGCTGGGGCTTCAGTGGGCAGTGCCCTGGTTCTGTGAGGCGAGCAGTTTCCGGACAGCACAGTTGTAATAGCAGATCCCATGGGCAAACATGCCATTGCGCTTGCTTCCCTAAGAAGTGTATTCTTCCATCTAAAGCTGTGTTCTGTGGGAATGCTGTTGGTCAGTCAGGCCTTTTGTAGCCCTTCAGATCATGGTGGTGGTATGGACGCTGGACAAGGAAGGCAAATCCACATCCTGAGTCGGGGGTGAAGTCGGGTAAGTGTGAATCGCTGACCCCTCCAGAGGGAAAGGAGTCCAGTGTAATCAACTTGCCGTGACGTTTCTGGCCGATGATCTCTGGGAGGGATGACACCACGTCAGGGGTCACCCTCAGTGTCTGCTTTTGACAAGTTAGATGTTCTTTGGCTGCAGAACTAGGCTTAGGACCAGCTTTGTGGTTTTTTTTAGTAGAGACAGGGTTTCACCATGTTGGTCAGGCTGGTCTCAAACTCCTGACCTCGTGGTCCGCCCACCTCAGCCTCCCTAAGTGCCATGAGCCACCACTGCGCCTGGCAGGACCAGCTTTGTGAGGAATCCCGTGCTGACGGGCCCACTCATAGCCTGCGTGTCTTCCACCGCGGCCATTTTTACAGTGGGCTTATGGTGCAGGCACCAGTGTGGCAAGGACAGAGGCTGGCTGTCAGGCACTGCAGAATATAGAGGGGGAGATGACTGTCCTCTCCTCCTGTGTTCCAGTCTCCTCTATGATGAGTGCTCTTTGGTCCACACAAACCTAAGAAGAGAATATGGTCAGAGGCGGGCCCTCTGGTCTCATGCAGCAAATCCAGCTGGGCGCAGTGGCTTACAACTGTAGTCCTGGGCAACATGACTAAGCCTGCTCTCTACAAAAAAATACAAAAATTAGCTGGGCATGGTGGCACCAGCCTGTAGTCCCAGCTACTCAGGAGGCTGAGGTGGGAGGATCACTTGAGGCCAGGAGTTTGAGGCTGTAGTGAGCCAGGATCCTGCCACTGCACTCCAGCCTGGGTGACAGAGCCAGACCCCGTCCCAAAAATAATAATAAAATAAAACAAGTCTAAAATTTCCACCAACCTAAGCATTCTGACTCCTCACTCAAAACTATTACAAGGCTCTGTTAGCATCTGTTATGGTTGCCTGCAGAGGAAGATGGACCGCGCCCCCCCATGCCCCCACTGCATCCAAAATTTGGTCCACATGTTGAGAGCCTTCCCTCCAAGCTCAGAAGGAACCAACCCTACTGGCTGATGATACCACATACAAGAACCTGAGAGTGTTGGCTAAGTCGCATACATGATTGAGGTCTCTGGCGAGAGCAGGGCAGGCCCCTGGAGCAGGTGCAAAAATGGCCTGAGAGAGCCAGGACAAGGGGCTGGCTTCAGTGTTTGCTGTGGTTAGGGGCTAAGGGTTTCTGTGCCTGGGCGGGAGCACTTGTGGTTTCAAAATCCTGGGCACCCCAGCCAGGTACAGTGGCTCACGCCTGTAATCCCAGCACTTTGAAAGGCTGAGGCGCAGGTGGATCACAAGGTCAGGAGTTTGAGCCTGGCCAACATGGCAAAACCCCATCTCTACTGAAAATACAAAAATTAGTTGGGCGTAGTGGCAGGCGCCTGTAAACCCAGCTGCCGGGAGGCTGAGGCATGAGAACCACTTGAACTCAAGAGGTGGAGGTTGCTGTCTGGTGGGGGATCCCGTTCTAAGTCCCATCCTGAAGATTGGCTTTCAGGGTCCATGTCCAATGCCTCTGTTTTCAGTCTCTGTTAGGGGTTGAACCGTGTCCCTCTAAAATTCCCATGTCCAAGTCCGAACTCCCAGCACCTGTGGGTGTGACTTTATTTGGAGATGAGACTTAACAGAGGTGATCAAGTTAAAATGAGGTCATTGGGGTGGTTCCTAATCCACTATGTCTCGTGTCCTTATAAAAAGGGGAGATTTGGGTCAGGCTCATGCCTGTAATCCCAGCACTTTGGGAGGCTGAGGCGGGCAGGAGAATCGCTTGAACCCAGGAGGCGAAGATTGCAGTGAACCGAGATTGCACCACAGTACTCCAGCCTAGGCAGCAAGATCAAGACTCCAGGCAACAAGATCAA